CAGGCCGCCCCAGCAAGCCTTCCGTCTCGGCTCGCCGTGGCGACGGATGGACGCCGCGCAGCGCGGTGCCGATCCAACGCCTGGCTAACCTATTGGAGCGCGATGCCCAGATTTTGGCAATAATTTGGGTGCTTATTTTGTGCTTCTGAATTTCTCTTTAGTCGCTGGAGACGCCCACACGGCAAGCCGCACTCCTGTGTCTCAGCGCACGCCGCCCGACCTGGGGCTGCTCGATTGCTGGCATGATAGTTGGTCTTAGCTTGTTTGACTTATTTTATGACGTATTTTCAAGGTATTACGCCGTATGAGCCGACAAGAACCACGTTAAGAAGACCCCCGATCGCCGGCGACCATTTCACCTGCACGCGCCATGAGCCCGTTCGCGCTTGCGGTCAGATTATCCCGGTGAGATTTGCTCGAAAATTTCTGATAAATTAAAGGTGCTTGTGCATTATCGGAGGGATGTAATTTTTTTCTTTGGGTTGAGTTTTCAATTTTAAAGAGTGGAGGCGTTTCTAAACGTTTATTATCTGGACGTGAAAACGAAAAAAATGTCAAACATATCGATTTTTCGTTCCAATATGGCCGATTTTTTACCAAAATTTTGACTTTGTCAAACTTTCTTTTAGTTTTCAGAGAGTTTTCTGGTTGCAATATAGTTATTTGTTACTAAAACACTATTCAAACACTTCCTATTCAGTTACTAGACATTTCTAGGATTATGCGAAAAACTCACCCCCCGTCCCGAATAATGCGGAAGAACCATTAAATAAATTATAATCATAATAATCTTTTTGCAGTGGAACTTTCAACTTCTGATGCAGGCGGGAAGCTGGGCACCGCTTTGGCTGTGGGCAACACTGTCGTGCTTGAAGGTATGAAGATTTCGGAAATTCTTGGATAATAAGTTTAGATAGCCGAGCAGATGCCGCTTTCCGCCCTGCTCTTTGACCTCCTTCCTTCGTGAGGTACTTCCAGCTAAAAAACTTTAAAAAATGGTTTTCAGGCTGGTTTCCCAGAGGGTGTCGTCAACATCCTGTCCGGCTTCGGGCCGACATCCGCTGCAGTTGTGGCACAGCACATGGGCATTGCCAAGGTTTGCTTTAGGAAAGTTTAACGGCTCAAGAGGGTTTAGGCCTTCACCGGATCCACCGAAATTGGACGGCTGGTGATGAAGGAGGCGTGAGTTAGCAGCATCGGGATAGCAACATCAAAAAGTATGCATTTTAGGTAGTAAAAAATCATATCCATCTAGGTTCACGGTGTCACGGAAAGGCGCCGAACATCATCTTCGCCGACGCCAACTCTCGACGAGGCCGTCGAGCAAGCCCACCATGAGCTCTTCTTCCACCAAAGCCAATGCTGCGGCGACGCAAGTCGTACTTTTGTTGAGGGCATGGTAAGGCTTGCAGCGTTGCACAATGGATTTTATCGTTGTATCAATAAATTTATTTAGAGTTTTTTTCATTATTAGGTTGAAAAAACTTCCCACACGTTTTGTATGATGAATTGTGTCACTGAAAATAGTTTCCAGGTCTACGACGCGAGTTCGTAGGCGCAGCAGGGAGTTGGCGCAGAAGCGCGTCGTCGGCGACCCCTTCGACCTCGATCCGACCAGGGTCCACAGGTTTTCAGATCTTCCTCGTAATCATGAACCGTTTTCTCAGATCGACGGCAACCAGGGCAACACCGTCTCAAGTTCCATCAGAAGGGCCGGCAAGCGCGAGGGTGCGTTTTTTACTTGGTAAATTTTCTTGATTTCTTGTTTTATATCAATGCTTTGTTGCAACCGGTAATAAAAAAAAGCTGATTGTTTCTATGTTTTTGCGGGGTTTTTTATTTACGTTTTCGTAGGTGTCCAGCTGCAAGAAGGTCGGCGATAAGGGCCACTCCGTCGAGCCCACATTTTCGCCAACGTCAATGACGACATGACGATCGCGCAGGAGGGGTGAGCACGTTGGTGTCGCCTCTCCTTATCCCGGATTCCCTAGATTTTCGGCCCGGTGATGTCGGTGATCCGATTCGGCTCGATGGAGGGACTCTCGTCGAGAAGGCCAACAACACCATCTACGGCCTGGCCGCCGCCGTCGTTATCCAAAGACATCGATCGGGCCCTCTACGTTGCCACAACATTCGCGCCGGATCTGTATGGTAAGCTATGTATACTTTTCGGGAAAGCGGTAATCTCCGTACGGCCTGATAGCGAAATATAAACCGTTTTATTGTATTTTCTACGGTTCAGTCAAAATGTCCGCACACATTGATTTTTTGTTCAAAAGTATGACAAATTTTAAATATTTTTAGGGCTTTCCAACAGCCAAAACTCCTTTTATCTGGTTTTATAAATTTTATTTCGGGGTCAACTGCTACGACGCGTTTGACGCGGCGGCTCCATTCGGCGGTTACAAGCAGTCTGGTGAGGGATTTTCACCAGCTACTAATTGGGAAATTGTATCTAGTAATTTACTTTTTCGGGTATCGGCCGCGAGTTGGGCGAGTACGGGCTGGAGGCGGCAAAAGGAAATTTTTTACACAATTAATCAACACGCGAACACCCGAAATTACAAAAGTATTTGAAATGAAAAATAATGGGAAACTTGCGTCCCTCCCAGCATACAAAAAAGAAAAAGAAAGGCCCCCCAGTAACACCCCGAGGTCAAGACCGTCACGATCAAGGTGCCGCAGAAGAACTCGTAGGCGAAAACCAGAAGAAGAAGCATCTTTCCATTTGTGCAACCCGCCCGACCCTGTTCCACCATCCCTCGTTGTGAATCTATTCGCATTTATGTGCATTTTTTTGGAGAATCTGATAAATTTTTTGAAAATGCGGAGTTTCGAAATCTCTTTGGAAAGTTTTTTCGTTGTTTGAAAAGTTATACTTTATTGCAACAATTTGTAAGTACATAACCGAAGATATCTTGTAACGCAAATAGTCAAGGCCACCGAGATCACAATCGAAATATGCTAACAATAGACAGCAAGTCGTGACTAAAATTTTAGCAATTCAAGGCCAGGCAACCGCCATTGAATCTCGGTGGCCAGCGTGTTGATCGTGGCCGGGAGGGTCTTGAGGCGCTGCTTGACTTGATAGTGGAGATCGGGGCGCGTCATGAGCAGGAACTCGGCGGGGATCAGCTGCACGTCTTGGCGATCGCCATATTCGACGGTAACGAACGGGCCGAGCTCAGCGCGCGCGATGCGCTTGATGAATGACGGCTGGAAAATTGGGTTTAGAAAGATTTCATAAAAGCAAGAGAAAACCGAAAACGGGGAATCTGTATTTTTTTTTCTCTAGAAGTTCAGATATACACAGTAAAGTTACAGCTAGTATTTAACCGTTAGCAAAAAGCGCCGAGATGTCTCGAATTCTATTGCAAAATTTAGATTCCACGAAAAAGCTTTTCGCCGATTTTACCAAAAAAAAACGTAATTACCTCATAGCCCAGCGCGATGCCGCAAGAATCCCACTTTGTGATCAGCGTCTCGCCAGGTTCGGGGATCGGCAGATCGGGGAGAGTGGACCACTAAAAAACAAATTAAAAACTGCAAAGAACGCTCACTAGTCGTCGACTAAGCAGCCGATCACGATGGCGGATCGAGACGACGGTGCGACAGTTATAGGGCTAGAAATAAAAGAAATAACCGAAAAGTTGAATATCAGACCTTGTTGTCTTCCTCCTCGTCCTCTAACAGCAGATCCGGGTCGAGTCCCAGCGTTTTTGGGTCGATGCGTTTGTAGGGTTTCGGTGGCGGCTTGTTAAGTCAACCTTAAAAAGAAAATTCATCAGCAAAGCAACGTTCAAAAAAGTAAAAAAAGAACAGAAACTCACCTTTTCCCAAGCCAGAAATTCCATGATGTTAGGAATCCAGCCCCCGAACTTGGGCGTCTCCACCGGCGCTTCTTCTTGGGCAGCTTGTTGCGGTTCTTCGGCGTCTTTCTGCGGCGGGTCTGGCATCTCTTCCGGCGAAGCCTCGACGATTTCGAGCATCGGAGTGGCTGATGGGCTGCGGCGTGCGCGCTTGACTGCCGACGGATCGGGCGAGGGTTCCCTGAAATTTGAAAAATAAGACATAAGCTATACATTTTCAATAAAATCAAACAAGAAAATCTAAAATATCGCCAAAAAAGTCCAACCGTTCGAGGGTCGTCAGCTTTTTCTTCTCTTTTGTTACCGCCTCATCAAGTTCCGGTTGCTTGCCCGCCTTCTTCTTTTCTTTGTCTTGTTTCTTGGTCGAAGGCCCCGCTTCACCGTCTAGCCGCGACTTTCGGCCGGCTTCCTTTTCGGCTTTCTTCTTGGCCTTGGCTTGCCTTCTCACTTCATCCTCTTCTTCTGTCGATCCCTCATCATCCGCTTGGCTTCCACGCGTCGTTTCCAGCTCCCAGCGCGGCCAGACATCCTAAAAAACACTTTTATATGAAATATCACCAAGGTCCAGAACCATTGAAAATCAAACGCACCACTTCCAGGGCCTCCTTGACTTCGGCCTGCAAGTCCATAAAATGGTTTCGCTTGTTCGGGTGACAGTTCTGAACAAAAATTTTGATAGAAAAAAGCCGGTAACCTTGAGTCTATTTTCGACTTTGTCTTCGATGCGCTCCCAATAGCCCTTGAGAGCATCAACGAAGCTCTGAAAAGCCGAATATAGTAAGAAACGGACATTATGAACAAGGTAAGGGCTTGATCTAAACATAGTTTTTACAGTTATCGATAAAAAGGGAAGTTTTTAGGCCGGAAAATGAAAATAAAAATGGAATTCCGGGGGAGAAAGAAAGGGGCCCTCCGTGACGTACATACGGTGGTAGGGCGCATTTTTAGATACCTACAGGCCCTGAATAATACAAAGCCCTGCTAAACTAATAGAAATATAACAAAAAATCATAAAAGTTTAATAAATAGAAGTTTATAGGAGTAATCTAATCATAATCTAATCGAGCGGACTTGTTCTATTCAGTAAACTGTGGTAGTTTCTAAGTGTCTTGATAACGATAACTTTCTCCTATAAATCCCGAATTGCCTCGTAAGGTAATAATAAGTGTTTTACCATTTTTTGGTAAAACTCAACTATACTTCAAGTGGAAAACCAATTCAAAAAGCACTGAACACTTTTGAAAAAGGAAAAAACTTCGAAGCAAGAAAGTTTGGGACTTTTGATGAGTTAGGGAGGCCTCAAGGGTATCAAAAGGAAGCTCTCGGAGTGCGCTATTAGACCAGTGGCAAAGAATACTGTTTGGTTTAACTAGACGTCAAAAGGAGCGTTCGGAGAATCGGCAGTTTTTAAGGAATAATTCGAGATAAAATTTTCTTTCCATCCGATCTTCCTGCTATTTTGTAATTAGTTTAGTCAAATGCTACCCGTTCACAGAAAAAATACAAAGATTGCAATTAAAAAGTTTTTGGCAAAGTGCCCAGTCGTCGAAAATTCACAGAAATACCGGGATATGGTATACTTTATTGCATATGAAACTTTGCTAACAAGGAGTGGCTTTTAGGTTCCTTGGGAGTTTCTGGACGGGACCTAGCTAGTTCGATAGAGAAAAAAAATTCTGAACACTATACCATTTTCAAAAAGTGCTGATCGATAAAGGAATTTTAGAAAATTTAATTTAAAGTTCGCGCTTTTTTTCTAGTTTTCGGGTCCATTTCCTCGGTTCACGTTTTCGGGGCTGGGCAAGGCGCCATTCATAACATTCCGCCAAGGCCTCCATCACAGGTTGCATTGGCGTATTGGTAGCGCGCTTGCCCACCAACTTTTAACATTTTTGCCTCGGGTTCGAATCTTCGCGCCAGGTTAACCGTTTGCTTTTTGGTTCTTGAACCCGTCATCGGCGCATAAATTTTAATTAGCAAAAAATCAAAAAGTTAACGATAAATTAGAATCGAACTGGTGGCAAAAGGCCAAAAAAACTTCGTAGGCCGACGCACTAGCCACTTGGCCATGCCTAGGACGGGATCCAGGGCGCGTGAAGTCCCCATGTGGCAGAGGCGGTCGACTGCCTCAAATCACCTCAAGGGTCCGGATACCGGGTACGTTTTTAATTAAATTAAATTTTCTAAAACATCTTTATCGATCCGCACTTTTTGAACTTACGGATAAGTGTTGCTCAGAATTTTTTTCTCTATCCCGAACTAGCTAGGTCCCGTCCCCGAAACTCCAAAAAGCACCAAAACGACTC